GACATAAAGCACACAAGGTAGGTGTGAAGAAACAACCGTTCGTGCAATTAACCCAATTCAAGTTTTATGCAAAAACGCATGATCGCACCGGCTCGCCTGGTGCGTTCCAGCCTACGTTCATCTGACTATTAATATACTTACTGCGCTCCGACAGCTATGGTTCATAGCACCGTTCACCGACTGCCAACTTTTCCAGCTGCCTTGATCAGTGTTGCATCGCCTGGTTTTCAGCCTGCTGGTAATACTGATGATGATCCCTTCGTCTGAAAGGGCATCAGATTGTTTACCGTTCCCATACGAATAAAAACTTACACAGGCTAGGAAAAACCGAACACTGTCTACTGATATTTTCTTTCTATATCTAAATTACTGGGTAGATTTTGCTATTTCTTCGGCACCACTGATTTGCAAGAAGCGCTGACAAGAACAATTCTACCAGGAAAATCGCCTGACCTGTGTGAAGCGAAAACTGACACATGAAATGGCATTGATAGAAAAAACACAATTTTAAACGTCACTAGCGGGCTAAAAAGCACTTTGTTTGGCATTAGGAGGCCAGAAACGGCTCAGAACCACCCGCATCAAGAAAATAAGTACTCGCTAGTATGGCATCTGAAAATGGCGATAAATCAGGCAGCAATCAGCAAAGTGGACTGGATTATCAGCGTGGGGCATCCGGTATCGCTCAGATGATACAACAACAAGCTTTGTGCAGTACTGACCAGCTAAATTGCCTCAAACTGAGGACCACTGCTGATTATCGTACTAGTAGCGGCAATGCTGATGATGGCAGTGACGGACGTATCGTAAGTTTCAGTGTCATTTCGTACTTTCTTACGTGAGTTTTTTGTGTCAGGGTTGAAATTTCGATTATGCGTCTTGATCTGTTTAACTGCATATGTCAACTTTTTATTCTAGAGCATCATTTTACCGGGACCGAAGCCAAAGTACAGTGATGAAGAAATCCAACAACGAGCTGCAGCTTTGTGCCGCGCACTGGTGACAAAAATTGCACAGGTTTTCGAATCTTTTGACCCCATTTTCCTTCTCGAAACTGCAATAAAAAGCAAAAGTATTTGCAAAAAAAGGCGTTAACTAAAAACAAAAAGATGGGCAGGCCATGAACTGTATACGTATTTTAGCATTATCAACACGCGGAACCCCCGAGAGAAAAAAGAACCATGCTAGCGGCCTCCCAACAGTCGATGCCGGTGCGTTTACGCTTGTTTCCTTTAAATTTTTATGCTATACTGCAGTGCAGCAGCGAGCTAAAATACAGATTATCAAGATTTTGTTTAATTGGGTCTGCATATCCGTATGATCAGGGTGCATTTTGTCACCCGCCTTAAACTCGGCAACAAGTAAAGCTAGGAAGGAAGTTGAAGTTTTTGGAGCGTGCTTTCTCTCCATGTTTATCCTTTTCATTTTAAAGTCACACGCCAGACAGTGGCATTTCTACACACTAAAGTTCGCAAGTCACCTTTTAATGAAGCGCAGGTAATAACGCACCTGACTTGCCCATGCGATCATGCGTTTTTGCATCAAACTTTACGCAATTAAATCGTTAACAGTATGAATGGTTGCTGTTTTACAGTTTATGGCTGCTGCTTTACAATTTCACGTACAACACTGTGTTCGTGCATTGGTCTTTTCTTTTATGCGGGGGAAAAGGCTTCGGCTGGGGTAATGGTGTTGCACCATGGCTCTCCCCATTGCGGAGTTCACATACGTCGGGGCAGAACTTGAATACTTCAAGTTTTGCGTGGGCGGAAAACATTCTCTCAACATTTCAGCCTCCCCGCTTTCCTAGTTTTTGAGTTAGCCATTTTCCTGCCAAAAGCTTTCACAGGATCGTACGTGAGAAACACGCATGCCTGGAGGCTGACTGTGATAAATTTAAGTTATACATGATTTGGGAACACCACCTTAAAATATCAGTGTACCAGCTTTCCTGGTTTCCGAATTAGCGATTTTCCCGTCAGGAACCTTCACCGGATTGTACTTGAGAATCACGCGTACTTGGAAGCTGCCTTCGAGTTCTATGTGGCGAGAAACGTAACCGCAAAATTTGAATTTTTTAGCTTTTTTGATTCCTGAATTAACGATCTTCCCTCTTCCCCCTCCTTCTCCGAAACTTTCACTTGCTCATACTCACGGCTAAGACGTGCATAAGGGTTGCTACCGCAGTCTTTGGGTGATACTTGGCCGGGAACCCCCTGGCAAATTTCAGCGCTGAAGATTTCTTGGCTGCCGAGTTAAATGCTCGGACAGACACCCACACAGACACAGACACACACACAAACATATACACACACACCGGGGTCGTCACAGTGTGAGTTTTTGCACTTGCATACATGCAAAAACGCATAACTAAGAATAAAGTTGTAACACTACTACCTAGAGCTACTTTAGCTTTGTGTGTGAACAGATCCGGACTTTTGCAGCACTGTTG